TTTGGATATCATTATATATATATACATATATAGGAATTATATATAAAAATAAAAAGTTAAATAAGAGAATTTGAAATGTTTGAATATAACTTATGCATATAAAAACGTTAAATTCAAGACATTGGGAAATTTAAAATGCTGCATGAAGTTGAAAATATTTACGCATATGAAAACATGAAATACATTAAGAATTTGAAAGGTTTGTATGTAATTCATATTTATTTGTTTTTAAAAAAATAAATGGAATGAGGAAGGTGTAAGGTGGAATGGCACGAGACAAAATGTTAGAAGCTGGAAGGTGAGAGGACTGAGAATTCATGCAGATATTGATTATTATTTTTTAAATTACACGAGAGATTTTTTAGCCTGAAAATAGGCAAACCAAACTACTACCTAGCAGGTAATCTAAGATTTCCTAAAAAAAGAAAGTCGTCTCCAACCTACATAGCAGGCGAACAACGGAAACTTCATTTGTGTTGCGCCGCAAAAGAAGGTCGTATTAGTCCTACGTAGCAGACGATCAAAGGGATCATCTTTCATGTTGTGGCGCAGAAGAAAGTCGTTTAAGTCCTGCACAAGACAACCATCAGGATCTTCTTTATTGAATAAGATGCAGAGGAAAGTCGTCCCGCCCAGCAGGTCACTCGGAATCTTCTTGCTTGTTGTTGTTGTGCATTCCTGTGGAGATGAAAAAATGGTAGTTTTCCTGACACACTTTGGGGGGGCCTTGCTTATATGGTGGTCATATCTAGAGAATACGATCCTCTTGAAGATCAGTAGAAGCACCAAAAATTCGAAGAGGCATCCACTGCCATTTGAAGATGAGCCAACCTCTTGTAGCCTATGTATCAGTTCTTATTGGTTTTTATGGCATTTTTAATCATCTGATGTGGTATCTGTAGATGATGATAATATATATCTATGTTTCTTTCGAGGTTGTTATGGCGTTATGCCCTCTGAAGCTTATGTCTTATATGAGTTTGAAATTAAGTGATCCATTTTGAGGCTTATAGCTTTCTGTGATTTTTTTATGTACCCTTGCTTTCTAAGGCTTTTGGCCTTTTGAGGTATTTGATGTACTCGTGTCTTCTGAGGCTTGTAGTCTTCGAAGTCTTTGAGTGGAGGGGCTTGCTTATATGGTGGTCATGTCTAGAGAATACGATCCTCTTGAAGATCAGTAGAAGCAAAAAAAATTCTAAGTCTATGTTTCTTTCGAGGTTGTTATGGCTTCTCAATTGTGCAAATTTTTGCAACTAAAATTAACACATACACTTCACAAAATTGAGAATTGCGTGCCTTATAAGACTCATGTATTCTTAAGTTATGCCCTCTGAAGCTTATGTCTTATATGAGTTTGAAATTAAGTGATCCATTTTGAGGCTTATAGTTTTCTGTGATTTTTTATGTACACGTGCTTTCTAAGGCTTTTGGCCTTTTGAGGTCTTTGATGTACTCGTGTCTTCTGAGGCTTGTAGTCTTCGAAGTCTTTGAGTGGAGACCCTATCAACCACTTATTCTCTCAGAGTCTTTTGAGTGAGGACCATGTCCATTGCTAGCTACAAATGAGGCCTGCCTATTGGGCTCATTTTGTAAGAGCATGATAGCTTCTCAAAGTGTTTTTGCCTCATTTTGTAAGAGCATGATAGCTTCTCAAAGTGTTTTTGCCTCTTGGGCTTGACTTCCAAGGATACCGTTTCATCCCATCGGGTCTTGAATCTTTGGCTTGACTTCCAGGGGCATAACAGCTTCTCATCGAGTTTTGCCTCTTCGGCTCGATTTCCACAAGCACCATATCATCCTATCAAATCTTGCATTTTGGGCCTGACTTCTGGGAGCATTGTATCATCCGATCAAGTATTGCATCTCGGGTTTAACCTTCAGGAGCATGATAGCTTCTCATCAAGTTTTGGCTCTTGAGCTCGACTTCCAGGGGTATCGTATCATTCCATCGAGCATTGCCTCTTAGGCTTCACTTATAGGGGCATGACAGTTTCTCATCGAGTTTTGCCTCTTGGACTTGACTTCTGAGGGTATTGTATCGTCCTATGGAATCTTATCCCTTGGGCTCGACTTTTAGGGACATGGTAGAGGTCTTGTCCACGGCTTTCCCTCGAGGAGACTTTCAACACAAATATTTTATGAGAAAATAATAAATTTTCATTAAAATTACAATTTAAAGCAATATGAAAATTTTGCTATAATAAAATTAAATTTTTATAGGGCAGTCTTTACTCAAACAAGATAATTTGGAGTTGTACTTATCATTTGATGACACCAACGACTTACTTATGGTTCCCCTCACTTTGAATTTATAAGTAGCGACCCAAGTGACGTTGACATATCTGATGTTCAATTTCTTTCTTTAGTTGAAAATATTGTTTAGTTGAATGTACATTCGTTTGATGTAAATGACAATATTGAGACTCGTCTCCATCAGTTTTGTTTTTTAACGATCTTAGCCACTTGACGACTTATTCATCCTTGATGTTTATTAGGATGCTGACACGTGATGCGTTTAGTAGCGTGTATTATTTTTCTGATCAAGACTCACGATTTTCATATCGTATGAAATTTTTCCTTTGTGAGATTTGATATGTATCCCAGATGTTATTCCTGTGCCT